AAGGGGAGGAGTGGAGGGAGAGGGAACTGGTATTGACATGAAAAACAATCTTGTTCTTAATTTTTAAAAAAAAAAGAAAAGGAAAGGAAAGAAATTCATGGTGTCTAGGATGGTTAAATAATTACTCTCAATAACTTAGCCTTTTACACTGTACCTTCCAGGCCACATTTGATCAGCACAAGTGTGATTTTTCCAAGTATTGAGTTAAAAATAAATCTTCCTTGCACATAATTCATTATGCAAAACTGAGCCAGTAATCAAGATATTAAAACTGAAACTGTCGATTCAGAGACAGGGGCACATTTTCTACCGAGCAAACAGGAGCAGTTACTCATGGAAAGATTGTGGGAATGCTCACCAGTTACCAAACCTATCCTAAGATTTAATTGACTCTGTCTCCTACAGGTCTCCAGGACAGTTTCCCTTCTCTGGGGTTATTTACTGCCTGGCTTTTATGCTGTATTTTAGCAAGGAAACTGACTGGAAAAATCCTTAAGTATCCTCATTTTTATTAGATTTAATACCTCGTATTGAAAGTGGACATGCATTTAGAGATGTATTAAGAATAAATCAGGATAGTGATCTCAAACCCAGACATGGAAACAATTGACTACAATTCTTGGAGATCTCCAACAGAAGTGATGATTCAGCTATCTCTCCCTCCTCACTGTAAGTGTGAATGAAGCAGGGGAAGTGGGTTGGGAAGACAGGATGAAATATACTTGACCCATGACTCTGATGCTATTTAGCAGTAGACAGCATTCCCTAATTTTTCCTGGTGGATGAGCAAATTTCTAGCTGGTTTTGCCGATAATAAAGCTATATGCCAGAAAGTGTCCATTCCTGTCAGGGTTGTCATGTTAGTAACACTGTGCTGCCTAGTGGTTTGGATGCATACTCATTGTGAACACTTGTTTTAAATATTCTATTTGTATTGTGAGGTAATTTAATTATGTCTAGAGTATATTTTACATAACTTACATGAAATATAATATTGCATAACCATCATTTATGAATATAATTTGTGTATGAGGGTTATAATGCTGTATTAATCATGTGTTTACCTGTATATATGTGTGTTTTTGTGTGTATGTGTTTGTGTGTGTGTATACTTCCCATAGTGCTAAATAAAATACTCTTTGATTGAAGAAAAAAGCTTATTTCAATCTGTCTGCCAAAATGAACTTAATAGAACTTAGTATCTTACATTTCTTTAATAAAAAAGAATTAAGTTAATATTCACTTATTTCAGAAAGGAGAATTTTATATATGATTTGCCCTCAAGAATTAATTTTTTATATTGTATAACCTAATAGGGTTTGATCAGTTGCATTTGCAAGTTTTCATCACATTTTCGTTTCTCTTATTCCCTTCAGATTCATAAAAAGTTATTAATATTACTACATGAGAATTTATTTTTGATGAATCCACACATTTCCCCCCAAAAAGAATTGCACTCCAAATTCCACAATGAGATTTGCATCAGAATCTTATGGAATTATGTTTTCTGTGATACAATTTTAATATATTAAATGCAGTTGTATGTGCATCCATACACATCAAGGTATTGACATTGAATATTCCCAAATGGCAAAAAATTCTGAATAAAAGTCAAAACTATACTCCTACTTACTTCATTATATCAAAATCACTGCAAATATTTTTAGGCTTCATGATTTCTGATCCTAATTCTAAGGGCTTTATTAGGGCTAGATATAGTTCAAGAATTTTGCATATTTTTCCTCTCGTGGAAATTACTGAGTAAAAGTGTGTTTCCATATAAATAAGATACTGGAATTTCAGATATTTTGTTGAAAAATTCCCCATATGAGATAATTTTTGCTTTTAGACTTGAATAAGTGATTATTACATAGCTTGGTTGCCTGGAAAAAAACATACAGTGCAAACATATTTATGACTTACCATACGTTTTCTCCTTGGATAGGAATATGCTTGTGTAGCCTAGCTAAGAAAAAAAAAAAAAAACAATAGAACTTACACGTATCAAACTTTTCTTATGTTCAGGAACTCTATGATACCAGTATGCCTGGTTTTGAAAAATGAGTGCACTGAATGCCATAATTTCCACAAAAGTCTCCCCCAAATCCTTAAAAACATCTCAATACCCAATCAGCTTCCTGTTTCCTTTTTATGGTAGACTAATCCTAAATTTAGTGTGAAAAAGATGAATGTTACTGATGAGAGCCTGCTTCTTGTTTGCTTGACAGCAACTAACAAAGGAATGGCTATTTTAATAAACACTATGGAATGGTTAGTTGTGAGTTTCCGTGTCTCCTTCCATCACTTTCTGGAACAGCTTCCTAGTTTTTCATGTGTTGTGAATGGTACACTGTGTAACTTTAGCTTTATGACTGGTGTCAACTTTGATTGAGTATATATTAAAATTGTCTTTCTGCATCAGGGCTCACTTAGAACGTTTTCCCCAGGTTATTGGGTACAGTGGATCTGAGGGAATATAGGTATAATGAACAAATAATTATACACAATACTGGGTAAATAGAAACTGCTGACCAGAGCTACTGAAAAATCACTGACTGTGGTCTGACAAATTGATAAATACATAAGATGATCTAGACTCCCTAAATAAAAGTAACAATGGTATAACTGGGTCACTGTATGAGGACATAAACTTTGGGTCTACAATCTAAAGCCAATATATAATATAACATATTGAAGCATATTCTATATAAAGAAATACCTTGCTTGTTCTAGAAAAGGGAGTGGTGCCTTGGACTTGCAAGTGCGAGATGATATGACAGATTTTGTAGACTTACTAGGGGAGATCTTATTCTCTCTATGGAAGAGAGGAAAGGTTTAGTCATTTGCAAATCGGGCTGGGAAGGAGAGTAAGTTGGGGAATTGGAACTGTAATGTAAATTATGAATTAACAATTTTTATAACAAGGAGAATCAGAACAAAAATAGAACCTACAAACCAAGCAATTAAATTAGATTCATAAGATATTATATATGTAAGCTCTTCTTCACCAGTAAGGTTACAATAATTTGTTAGAACTGTGGCTATAATAATGTCTCCCTCGTACCTAAATCATGAGGACTGCACTCAGAGAAACAATGGGGAATTTGTCAACAATGACGACCACGTTCCAAAACATGCATTATGCTGAGCTGTCTTTTACTGTATCTAAGAGAACATTTAAAATATGTCTCTTGCAATAAATATAAATGAAAACAGATATTAAAAATACAAATATTCAGACCGAAAAATTGAAGGGAAGGGACACTGTGCTTAAAAATATACACATACCAATGTCTCTGCTATTCTTTTGTAAACCACAAAATCATCCAAGATCAATGCTGTACAATCTGCTGTACAGAAGACCGCAGATTTTGCTGAAATATGTTCTATCATGGTTTCTCTAGCACTAAATCTTTGAATTGTGTTCACTATTATACTATTGAAGACAAATTGTAAATTATTACGTTAGTTATATTTCTATATAGAAACATTCTGCTACATAGTATCATAATTTTGGTTAAGAGGTCTCCACAACATCAGGCTGAATTTGAAGAATTTAATTTATGCTTCAAACATAATAACTTACTAATCTTTAGGCCTTGTGGGGTTACTGGTTGAGTTTCCTGTATTTTTCACTCCAACATTCTTTTTCAGAAATGCAGGCATATGTCATTGACAAGAGGGCAAACCTTGTGATAAAATAGCCTTGAATAGCCCATAGTGCCAAAAAGATAGTTGACAAAATACATAATAATCATCTCCATATTTTCTGAAGCCATATAATTCCTAACTTTGTTCTGGATATTGTCTTTACACCTAAAGGCATTATTAGTTGTAAAAGTCAGTAAAACATATCACCATTTTACATCACTTCTACACAATTCCACAATTGAACAAATGTCTAAGGACTTACACTGTTTATTTCCAAAGCACCTAATCAATCAACACAACCCACCTTTGTTCTTTAATTGCATGAAATTGCCATATACAGTTTCTTATCCAAAGGAAAAGTGTACATGACCTGTAGACAGTATCTTCTGAAAAGGATTATAAAACAGAACGTTTTTGAAATTTGAAGAAGTATACAATGAAAGTTCTTCAAATATAGAATGTAAACAAAATTAGACACACAACATCAGAAAGTGAAATGTGAAATCAGATGGGAGACACTTCCAATTTGTAGAATTAGCAAAAAAGCCATGGACAAAAATTGCATGAAAAATAGAAAGGCTCCATTTCTACTGAACCATAATTTCTTTAGGCCTTTCTTTCCAAAATGTCAATGCTAAATCTATTATACATAACAAATACAGGCTGTATACAGTATGGGTTAGTTATGATATATGTACGTGTTCTCAGTGGAATCACAAAATTATGTAGTTATTTGTATTTTAACATTGATTGCTGAAGCTACTGGATTGATGGGGTAATAAAAAGAAGCAACAAATAATAAAAAATAGTCATCATGCATGAAATTCTAGAATACATCAATGAAGTGTAGACAAGGACACACATATATACATAAAGTATGTATCAGAAACTCAACATATGTACTTAGATGCACTTGTACAATTATTTGAAATTATTTAAGTGAATTTTGTTTATTTGGAGAGATATTGAGAAAACTGTTCCCCTTATACAGTAAAGGGATAACAGTTTTCTCACCCAGATACTAGTAATGTATTATTCGGTATTGTTCTTGGCCAAAGGCATGCATATGGGGACCCATTTGATATTCACAGATGATCTCAAAAATATAGGTGGTACATCAATTATGAGAGACAGAATCTATTTTTGATGTTGCTGTATGCTAATGTCATCATACCAAAGAAATCTTGTCTGCTGCCATTTGGAATCTTCACTTGGATTGAATACAGGTTATACAATTGAAGTTCA